CCCATATTAAGGGGGGGGGGGGGGGATCCTCATACTTTTGGGCATACATTATATGATATACTGGGATCCACATCTTGAGTAGAAAGCAGGTGAGCCCATGAGTCACACCAAACTGCTCAGTACATGAAGACTTTGCACTTCTCTCATTTTCCCCATGTCATCGCCGAGTGGAAATAAAATCTTGAAGTTCACGGTGATGGTTCGTGTTTGGAAGGTCTTCCCGAGGCCGACGCTGCTGGAATAAACGTGGCAAGGCTGACGCAACCGTTGCGGCGGGGGGTTGATGTCCCATGCAGCTGTATTGTGGCAGCAGGTGTCCTCAGCATTTTCCACCCCCGGCTTCATGCCTCTCAGTAGAAGACATCAGAAGTCATTGGGACAGTTTAGAATTGAATTCTGCTTTCTGCAAATATTTACTTCATCCCGGAGACGTCTGCAGTTTATCTCATAACTCATATGGAAACGACTGCAGATGGTCAACCAAGAAGAGCGCCCTTACTTATCTGAGAACATGGCAGGACCTTTCTGATGAAGCTCTTGGGGGACAGCAAGGAAAAGGGGAAAAAAGAGAACCTGTTACACTTGCTCGGATATATGAAAAGTGTCTTTTAAGAAACTTGTGATGCTGTAGTATCCTATCGCCTAGCGCTGACCCAAGACCCCTTCTGAAAATGCCTGACTTTCATAGTTACATAGTTACATAGTATTTGGGGTTGAATAAAGACATACATCCATCAAGTCAAACCCATATAGGACTTTCATGTGAGCCAATGTTCCCGGTACTGTTCGGAGCCGCTCACCCAGAACTAGAATGCAGATTAGGAGTTCTTGACTTCTCATTGACTTTCTGGATTCACTTGTGTTAGGTCAAGATATATCAAAGCTATTGGATCACTTTGACAGTCTGGCGGGTGGCATTTTCAGAAGATCGTCAGTGGAAGGCTCCATATATATGGAGGGGGATAGGGAGGTCCACATACTTTTGGCCATATAGTATAGTTCAGTGGTTGTCAACTTTCTTGACATAAGGGGCCTCAAGTGAATTGAAGGTTGGAAGAACATCAATGTGTTTGTATTCTGTAGTATTAATAGGACTGGAGACACCTGAACCCCATCATATGGTGGGCGGGTCCTCATACTTGTGGCCATACATTATATGAAATACTTGACCCCTTCTGAAAATGTTAGCTGCCTGACTTTCATGTCAATGTTCCCGGGACTGTTTGGAGTCACTCACCCAGAACTAGAATGCAGATTAGGAGTTCCTGACTTCTCATTGACTTTCTGGATTCGCCTGTGTTAGGTCATGATATATCAAAGCTATTGGATCACTTTGACAGTCTAGGCGGGTAGCATTTTCAGAAGGTCGTCAGTGGAAGCCTCCATCCATATATCTCCCAGTACAGATTCCCTTTACAAGACCGATGGCCGGATCCCCGGATACGGCTGTATGCAGTTTGGAATGAATGGCTCTAGGCTGAGTCTGTGCCATATACCAGCAAGTGTTCACGTGCGGTTGGCCACACGATCATAAAGGAATAATTTGCATGACTCCACCCACCATCCTAATGTGCAGAATATTTTACATACATTATATATATTTCTTATTATATATTTTTGGGGATCTGTGAGTGAAGTTAGACCTGGAAATAAAGGAGGGTCCACTGTGCTCCATTGTGTAGCAGTAAAATGGAACTGTGCATAACTGATCAACAGGAAGCACGTATATGAAATGAGCAAGTATAGTGGTGCCCATGTATATGTTTTTATGATAACACTGACATTATTATATAATATACAGAATGCAGATATATAGCGCTGTACCTAACGATTATTTGCATAGTCGATGAATTGCCCGATGATTTTTTCAACAAATCGTTTGGTTGCATTAAAACCTCTCTCTTGCCAACTATTCTCATAATCGATTATTATCAATTTAGTCGATTAGTTGTTGCAGCTCTACAGTTATATATATATGAATGGCTCTAGGCTGGCCATTCATATATATTCATATATATATATATA